CAACAATTGGGATGACGATTTCTTTCCACAGCTATTGGAGCTGAAGTGGCCACCAGAAGACCGACTGATCGAACGGGATTGCACTTGTGACTTCTGGGAGAAAATTCGATGTAAGAAATTCGCGATTTTTTCCAATTCATTTATTCATGGCGGATCTAACATTGTTGATGCTCCATCTCAGATCGCTATTGAAAAATCGTCTTTTTTATTTTTAAAAAAGAAGGCGACAGGAGTGTGCCAATGAAGAGAAAAATTGAAGTCAGAATCACTTGGAACTCGCCACGTTTCTGCTCAATAAGTCCCTTGGATCTGATGGCTGTTTCACAAACATGAGCAACGCGTTTTGATATTATTTCTTCGACCTCTTTTTTTACACCCATCATTTCTTTCGTCAAGAACAAGTGCCGTTTGGTGACGAATTCAGCTCAGAAATGTCAACCGTCCACCGCCTTATATATGTTTACAGAAATTTCCGACTAAACCTTAATTGCCAATTCTGAAATGGCGAGAAAAGCTCCCGTTGCCCGACCCTATTTGCTCAGTCACAAATCGAATATGCCACAATCTCGTCGTACTCACAAATTTCTTCCGAGTGAAATACTTGAAAGATCACAATCACTGAAGCACGAAAATGAACGCAATCGTCTCAAGGACAAACCTATTCAAGAAGCGAAAGAGACACTCATCGAAGAAACCTCCTCTGGGATCATCTTCTTGCCTTACCCAGAAGAGTGTCTCCGATACATTTGATGACCAACAAAGTGCCGCCTCTGAGCATCAACGGCGCAGAGAAGTGGAATGCATCCTACATTTGGTGGAGGGATGCCGGCTGGCAAACATTCCTGCTTCTTCCAGCATGATCTTTCGCTTCGCATGCTACTACAACTTTGACTACGAGGTGTCTAGAAGTGCCCTTTTGCAAAGATTTGATGATCCACATCTTCACCTTCGAATGGAAGGTGACTTGATGAAGCAGTTCCAAAACCTTGTTCTTTTCCCACTTCCAGGTCTCAGAACCAAGAACAATCATCAGGAAGTGCTATACTTTCACGCATGCCGCCACTTCCCAGCGGAAACCGATACTGAAGTGCTTATTAACAACATGTGCTACGTCTTCAACGATATGAGCTTGTCTCAAGAACAGTGTCGTAACGGGGTTGCACTCCTCATTGATTTGAACCAGTGGACTTTCAAGAACTTCACTCCCGAATGCGCGAACAAGTTTCTCAAGGCAATGCAACATCAAGTACCGACAAAGCTAGCCACCATTTTGATAGTGAACGGGCCGCACTGGTTTCCAAAAGTTTATCGTTGTGTGTTCAAAAAAATGCTGTCCACAACACTTGTTAAGAAAGTTCACATCATAAAACAGTCAAAGTACTTGCAAGACTATCTGATGGATGGTTATGGAAAGTAC